ATCTCCAACACTCATAAAATCTTAAAGTCTCATTTCAACTCTACTCATATCGCCTTTCTACTTACTTCTACTCTCATCTTCTCCAGCTTCAACTCATCTCTCACTATATATGCTTAATCTCCTCCACCATCTTGTGTTCTTTGCAACACCATATTTCCGCTCCATATATTATTACACCAATCCATCAAAGATTACTTTCTGTCTACACAAATCTTTTCAAAATATTCTTTCCCCCCAGCTTCATATCTGCCCTAATAATCTGCTTGCTTTTCTAATTCTCTGGTCATTATTCGCTCGAAAAGTAAAATCCAGGCAAGCAAATTCCATTACTTCCTTTTATGTCTCCTACTCTTGCAGAATTTTATAATTTTCGTTTTTTAACATCCAAATCCTTCCCCTCAAAGTATGTGTCAATATGATTATTCAATATGAGTATTCATTTAACAGTAAATAGTTGGTCTAAATATTTATTGTAACAACATATTAATTAATATAATAATTAATTATTATTGTAATAACGTATTCATGATATGATTAATACCACTTTTCGGTAACATAATGTAATCATAAAATGCATATTATCAATGTTTCAGCTTAAAAAAAATTTAACAGCAATAATTTAAATTAAGTTTTACATCGACTAGAAAAGATTATGAATTAAAAAAAAATATAATTGATAAATGATAAAGAAATAAAAACATTTCGTTGTAATCGTAATCTAATAGTTACACAATAACCATCAAAGTCAATAAAAAAAAATACCTTATAAGTTTTATCACTTTTCCAGGTAAATTTCCTGTTGAAAATACTTATCTAAAAGAAGACATTGTTTATTGTTTTCTAAAACCACTCAAATGTTATCTTTTTTATCTCTCTCTATCGATCAAAAATAAACATTTACACCAAGTCAAAGACCGTATTCTCATCCTCCTATCTCTATCTGCACGCGGTGGTCTTTCGGAGTGAGTATGTGGACAGCTGTTGTTGCAATTCCCCTAACTTGGTAGAGATAAAGTCACAAAAATCAATGAATGTCTTCCTTGGTTCAATGGAAATGCCGAGGAACTAACCCAATTTTTATTAGTTTTGTTCTTCAACAACAAAATAATAAATAGGATTTAAATAAAATAAATCTTGTTGTGGTGGGTCTTGTTCCAATTTCGAAACATTAAATTTTCATGTTGGAGAAGTTTAAGTGGAAGTCACCCACGTTTCTAATTTTATGCATAAATCACACCTGCTCGAAAAGACGATATGACGCCAAAATGTAAAGTGGGTAATCCTTAAATTTAGGTTTCGATGTTATAAATCATTCTATTTTTAAATTGCTTTATAAAGTTGCATTATTAAATTAATTCCATAACTCTTACTTCGTGCAATAAACCATTTTTTGGAGGGTATCAATATTTATGATATAAAAATGCTGTAAAAATGTACTTTGATGTTGTCGTGATATGCGTTTCACCATACTATTCACAGGGAAATTAAAATTAAGCTTTTTATAAATTAGTTATTAATAAAACTTGGTTGTAATTCAACTCTAAACAACTATTGATTACAAAGAATGTTGATACGATCAACAATTATTAAGATGTTGACTTTATGTTAATATACAACGTTATCTAGAGATTGGTGAAGTCGTTAAATCAACTAGTGTGATTCGATTTGAGTCGTTTGACACATCTCTATGTTAATCTTGCATTTCCATTTTCCTTTGGATAATTCTCTTTTAAATACTCAAATTCCCACTGAATAAGAAAATTTTCTTTTCCAGGAAATGACTAACTTTTGAAACGGGCCGCAAAAAATTCCGTTTCCTTTAGTCACTTTCAGTTGATTACTTCTCATTTCTGTTCTTTTAACGACAAATGCGTGTCAATTGGTTATGTTGAAATCTTTTTTTGCAGAAAACCTCGTTCTGGTTTAATCCGATGACTCTCTTTTGAGTGAATCTTTCCACAGAATGAATCATTTTAAAACCATACAAAAACTTAAAACGAAGTTATAAATCAAAAATAAATCATCGCGATTATTTATTTATTTATTTATCAATTCACATCGTTATTACGATGTCAATTTTAATGATTTCAAGGATAAAAAAATTTTAACTTCAAATTTATGGTTGTAATTAAATAAATAACATATAAAATATAATTATTATGGATCATTTAACGATTCAGTTTGTTTGTTGGGTTAAATAATTCTCGATATGAGTCAATTTCCGCGGTGACCATTGTTTTAAAACGTATTAAGATGCAAATTTATTCATTTGTGGATACGAGCCAAACCAAATTCGCCACACAATAGAAGCAAGTAGCACTGTATTATTGTTTTAGAAAAAACACCTGATCTTAAATGATCTTTATTAAATAAATTATTTTTCTTTGTTTTTTTTCGGTTATACTTAATATATAAAAACGTTCTAGTTCTAGGTCTAGTGTTAGTTCTGGTTTTGCACTAGCACTGTCACTAGAATTAACACTAGACCGAGAACTAGAAACATTCGGATTTAGCCGCACGTCTCTCAAGACGGCTAAACCCGAATGATTCTAGTTCTAGGTCTAGTGTTAGTTCTAGTTTTACACTAGTACTATCACTAGAACTAGTTTTACACTAACACTATCACTAGCGCTAATTTTACACTAGTTCTATTACTAGAACTAGTTTTACACTAGCACTATCACTAGAACTAACACAAGATCTAGACCTAGAATCATTCGGGTTTAGTCGCACGTCTCTCAAGACGGCAAAACTCGAATGATTCTAGTTCTAGGTCTTGTGTTAGTTCTAGTTTTACACTAGCACTAATTTTATACTAGTACTGTCACTAGAACTAGTTTTACACTAGCACTATTACTTTTATACTAGCGCTATCACTAGAACTAGTTTTACACTAGCACTATCACTAGAACTAACACTAGACCTAGAACTAGAATCATTCGGTTTTAGCCATACTGAGAGACGAATCCAAATGACAACACTCCTCCGAATCAAAAAATAGAGTATAAAACTAGAATATTATAACCAATCAACTTTTAGGTTGTGATTTATTCGCGTTAATAAAAACGAAAGGGGAGGGTAAAATTTGAGGCAATTCAACCCCATTGAAAAATCGTGGAGGGTTGATGGCCATTTCAAATCGCGCCGCTCGCGTTTCAAAACAGACAATGGATTAAAGCCAAGGGTCAGGGGTAATTTAGCGTTTACGGTCTGATGGTCACTTCCACAGATGAACCATACGTAATCCATAAAGTCAATAGGTTCGGATATATTGTGAACAAAACTGTAACGGATTGTTTTCGAAATTTCGAAATAGATTCGGTAACAATTTATTTAGATACATTTTTGAAATTGTTGTTGGAAAATTTTAAATTTTTTTTAGGTTAGAGAAGGTTGCTTTTGAAATTAGCATTTCCTTTTGGCGAAAACCCACGTTAAGGGCGACCCACTGAAGTCCGGTCGTTTTAAATGAAAGAGAATTGAAACAAAAAATTTATACGGTGCGTTTCAATGTTAACCGGTCTGGGTTACGTAAGTGAACTTGATTCATGATGAATAACGGAATTTGAGAAATTATAATTTTGAAATCAACTTTTATCGTCTTCCTACACAACCTTTTTAAATATTTTTTTTTTTTATTAATCGTTTGAAATAATTTTTGTTATAAAATTATTGCGTACATTGATATATGCCTAGATGGGTGTTTCCAAACTAAACTCACCCCTATTAAAATATTTTTTTTCTTTCAATTTGGGCGTTGAGATTTATGTGGAAATTATACAATCGAAAGAGTTTTAAAGGTAAACAAAGGTCGACACAATCGTAACGGTCATCGAAAAACTACGGTAGCAGAAAAAAGGGTTCACACCCCCTTCGGTTCAATCTCGAAAGAGAACCACCACTTTGGGGTGACTACAATTAAACTAATTTATAGGGTTGAGTTTTCGAGTTGCATTAGATTGGACCATTTGAAATGAAAGGGCGTAAATTAACAAACAAAAATGTTTTGTTGGGGATTCTATGATTTATTACATTCTAATTTCCTTTTATTTAGAATTTTTCTTAATTTATTATTGTTAATATTTTTTTTTTTCTAAAAGATGTTTTACTGCCATCTAGTACCGAGTAGACGTTCAATTTCATTATTGTATCTCCTTTAAAGTTAACAATTTAACTTGATAATAGTGGCTTTTAATAAAAATTCATGAAATTAACTGGATTGGTTCAAAATTGAATGTCAATCCAGTTAATGGCAGCTCAGTTAAAAATACTTAGACATATTTATAGAACTATGTTAATACATGATGGAGGAGATTTTTAGTGAGGATACTATTGAGAAATGTTAAGGATTAGGGAAATGACAGGTGGGACTCTCGGACTGTATTGTGAGATATCAAAGATTATACAATGATATGTCAGAAATAAGTTTGATGCTATAAGCGATATACTAGAGTGTTAATAAATGCTTGGGAAGATGTTGAGATAATAACCAGAAATATCAGAAACGATATTAATAAATAATAGAGAATATGTAGAGAGGAGTGTGAGCTATCAAATTATACAGTGATATGTCACAAATAATTTTGATGCGATAAGCACCAGAATGTTAATAAATGCTGATAAATGAAGATGTTAAGATAATAATCAGAGATATCAGAAACGATATTGATAAATAATAAAGAAGATATAATTATTATCTATCTAATTATTGTAGATCTAATATTTAGGTAGACAAGATTATTTTTTGCTAAAAAATTAAGTTATTTATTAATCCAAAACGACTTAAAAGAAGTCATAATAAGTCTTCAGACAGTCAACAAAAAAAAATTGAGATGAAATGTGTCTCATCTGGAATTCGAAAGAGTCTGTTGTCGAAAAAGACCGCACATGTTCCTCAAAAGATTAAAGAGGTCTTATTAAATATAGCCATTCCCAACGGATCTTATCTTATTAATTCTTTTATAACCCAAGCAAAAAAAAAATTAATCTTTAAACATTACCTTTGAACATGACCAGCAACGTATCTCCCCCTAACCGGAACTTGAGGTGGTTCCTTTCCCCCCAATTTTAAATCCAAATCAGATGTAATCAACAAATCCTCACTTTGCACAACCATCGTTTAACATTTAACCATTTTAATGTTTAAAGTTTCACTTATACAATTTATTATTTTAATAAAATCTAATGAAAAATGATTATATTCTGATACAGTTTGAGGTATTATGGTCGTCCGTATGGCGAAGGTCGTCCAGCGGTAATAAAATGGGGCCGATTATCTCGCCCGCTATGCTAATAATATGTAAATGGGCGCAGCCTTTCTCGGAGAAAATTCTTTTTATTCTATAGATAACGTTGGCGACAGTGGGATCCTTTTATTTTTTGACTTTTTCAAATTGATGATAATTTGATCACAAATTATTGCAATTATGAACAATCAGTATAAAAAATAAAATTTTTTCATAACTTCTCTTACAAGAACGAATTAAATTACATCCAAACAATTCAAATCAAAGAAATCGAACAAAGAACGTAATCATTAAAGAAAACAACTACACAAAAAAAATATTAGATCACCAGTGAGAGGATAAACACTATGATTTAATAACATTAAAAAAAAACAATAAATTGTTTCAAAAACACGTGCGTTTATCACAACACCGAAACACGTGAGATTATTACGCGTAAAGGTTAAAATTAAGAACGAAAAGAGTCGCAAGACGTCTTCGTGTCTCAACACTTCAGGTAGGACTGAATCAAAATCAGCTACTAATAAAATCTTGGGTTGAGTTGTAACTCCCCAGATTTAACTCTCCAATCTCTCTATATCTCTCTTTCTTTATTAAGATCTTTCGGTTTGTCTCTCTTTGTTTCTCTCGTTGATTAAGTGTATCTCGTGAGTCTTGCGAATCTTGTGGTTCGATCCGTTGGGGAGTTCGCCAATAATTAGTCTTTGTGTCTGCGAAAGGATGCATATAAGAACTGTTGGGTGTACCACAGTCCGCTTCCTACTTCTTGTCTACCACTATCGTATTTATATTCCGGTAGAGTGCCACTCCTTCGTTTACGGTGTTTGTGTCCCTCGAGGTGCCGTTCAAAGAAATTTTTATTCAACTTTATTGATAGAAAGGAAATTATTTGAAAAAAAAATCTTTTTTTTTTTAATAAATGGACTAATAATAATAAATGAGTCAATTAGAGGAGATTAATCAAAATTATGGTTAACCATAAAAGATAATCTTGGGATGTTTCGATTTAACATCCATCTGTAAGGTAATGAGAAGGAAAATCGGCGGATGAAAGAGGAAATGGCCTCAGAATACACTTAAATAATAATACACCCAACCCGTAACGGTTTCTATGCCTGAAGAATACGGTTTCACACAGACTATCGTCTTACATTCGATTCAAGCCAACCCGAACCCGACCGACCGAAGAGTAACAATATTGATTGTGGGAGAGTTTACGCACAATAATAATAAATAACGACGCACTATAATTCATAAGTTGCGTTAACCTTAATGATGTTTCGATCGAAACTTTTTCAAATTGGATTCGAATTGTTATTATCGCTGATTGGAAAATAATATCTTATCGTAAAATCGAATACATTTTTTGTTATAGCTGTAATGAACTTGTAACGGGTGTGACATTTGGAAAATAATATCTTATCGTAAAATCGAATACATTTTTTGTTATAGCTGTAATGAACTTGTAACGGGTGTGACATTTTAATGTAACGGGTGTGACATTTTAATGTAACGGGTGTGACAAACTAAAAAATGCAAAATTCGGAGTAAATATTCGGCTCAATTTAACTTATCTAAACGATCATTTAAGTATTACCATTTTCGATTTGTTATGATATCATTTTTATAATAAACTTTTTGTGTTTTGGCCGTAACGGGTGTGACAAATTGACAGCTGCAAAATTCGGGGTAATTTACTTTTTTAAGAATCTTGTTTGCTGCTAAATTGCTTTACTAAACATATAATGAAGGTTCATGAAAGATACTTTTTGGTGGTGCTTAAAAAACATAAAACATTGTTTGGAAAAGGGACTTTAGACAAGAACTGGAAGATACGAGAAGCAAAGTTCTAAATGAGATGATGTCTGAGCTAATTAGGTACCAACCTTAATTTATATTTCAACTTAAAGATTAATAGCAACATGATTAAGGGAAAATAGAATAGAATTATGGCTAATGGAGATAAAGAAAAGCGGAAATGGAAAAATACAGAGATTAATCATTACTATTACACCAAGTCTAACTATTATATAATTTAAATTGAAACACAAAAACACCTTTCTAAAAACTTATACTAAAACTCCTTGAATGGACGCAACATAAGAATATAACTAGTTTTACCAAAAACAAAGTCGTTTAATGCAAAACCTAAGTAATCAAGAGATATTTGAAGTATTACTTAATTAATGTTATTAATGTGCGTAATTTCGTTTCATGTTAATCATGGTTTTTAAGACTGCATAGTTTAACTCACACGACTCATTAGCAATTAACGTTTCGCTCGGTACTAATTAAATTAAGAATTAAAAGTGAAAGCGCCATCTATGAAATAAAAGCAAAAGTGTATTCTTTATTTTTAAGGAATCTGTAATACCGATAAATTAAAAAAAAATCAAAATTATTTTTAACGGTAACGTATCATTTATTTATTATCATTCATTACAATTTATTGTTTTTTTTTTAACGGAATTAATTGATAATGTACAGTATCACATATAGTTGCAAAATTAGTTATTTTTTTTTTTTTTTTTAACTGTGGAAGATTTAAACGAAACTTAAAAATCTAAATAAAAATAGTGATATATATAAAAATCAAAACTTAATGATTAATTCAATTAATCTAAACATTTTCTCTTGAGACTAGTTAATCCTCAACACGATATTTTTTTTTAGTTACTTCAACATTAAAATATTTATATTTCATTTTCATCTTAACGACTACAATTTTCAAACTAATCCTCAAATCTTTTAACAACCCTGTTGCATTAAAAGTTTGGCAAATTTAAATACTCTCCACCAGGAAGTCCACGGAGACGAAGAGGACGTCGTTTCCTGTCGAGAAGAAGAAGCGACTACTTCTTCAGCGGATGAAACCGACGATGTACTTTTACCATCTTTTTGTCCGTTTATTGCTGGAGATGTCATTTTTATAACCTAAAAAGTAATTATTTATTTCATTTTGATTTAAAACTATTTAAAAGGACTGTTACATAGTCGCTATTAGGTCTACTATTAGTTCTAACGATAGTGATAGCACTAATAGCTAGAATTAACACTTGCACTATCATTAGAACTAACACTAGACCTAGAATTAGAAACATGAACGAATGCTTCTTCTACGTCTAATGTGAGTTCTAGTGATAATACTACTGGTTGTACTAATAACTAGAATTAATACTTGCACCATCATTAGAACTAACACTAAAACTAGAAAAAAGTTCTTGATCCTGAGATGTAGCAATCCTCTAAGTTTCTACGATCTTTGTTTTTGTTTTAAATTTTTTTTAATCCAACTTCATTAAAAACTTTTAGTTACGTTATAAAATACGTAATCAATCGTTAAAGAGTATGATGTAAGTGAATTGAAAATATAGCCATGAGGTAAGCTCGTTTTTATTAGTCAAGGTAAAAATAACCTTTATAAAATTACGTTAAATTTGATGTTAAAAGGAGTATAATGTTTTAAAGAGCTGAATAAAACGAAATTGGAGACGTTTATGTAATTTAATAACTGTGAAGTTTAATTTAATAGTTTGAATTAAAGTTAAGTTTCAACAAAAATGTTGTAAGTTTATAAAAATATTTTTGTGTAAAATTTTTTTTTTGATAACTTTTTAGAAAGAATTGGGTCAAAACTAACGTTTTAATGAGATATGGCTAAATTGGATAAGAAGTACGCGTAATTCGCATAATGGACTTTCCTTTTTAGAGAAGTCTAGAAAAAAACTTCAACCTTGAACTAATTTATTAATTTTATATTGGATTAAAAAAAACATACTTAAATATTAAAATTTTTTAATTTAAATTAAAATTAAAACCCACTCTTGGTATTAATTCTTTTTCCTTACCTTTTTTCTATTTTATTTTCTTTGGCACAAAAACTAAAAACAAATTCTTCTCTCTCGACGATTATTACCACACACGATATTTTCAAAATCTATTATAAAACACGGCACGCGTTCCTCTCGTTTAGAAGGTTAGTGTGTGTGTGTAAACGTAAACCACACATAAACCTCCTCTCCAAGATCTGACCTACATCCCCGAGAATACGCGATACCGAACGTTACAGAAAAAAAGGGGGCCACTGCGCAAAATCCGACGCTGTGCCGACGATTGCAAAGCAGGGCCGTAATTGACACGTGCCATTTTTATCAACCGCGATAACCGATAAAGTTAAAGTATAAAAGAGTAATGCGTAGGATAAAGAATCAATCTTTTTTGGACGTTTCGATTGGTTACACTACTTCAAAAATCGGATTAAAAAACTTAATCGGGGTTATTTTATCGATACGGCTCTGTTTAAGGTCGGCTTTTAGGGGCCTATTGATCAATACGCGGTTGTTACAGCTGATCGAAAGCTGAATAGGAGTGTGTTAACCTTCAAATTTGAAGGCGAGATATTTTTTTTATGAATTATTTGATTATTATGTAGATTGCATTATTATATTGCTTCAATACAATTTAACACGTTGGCTGCCATGAGGATAACATGATCGACCAAGTCACTCGGCCAGAATCAATAAATAGGTAAAAATGAAGATAAATGTGGAAATTTTTTGCTGCCCTTCTTTATATGGGATTTGTAAAGTATCCTAAAATAGCTGACTATTCGTCCACCAGCATTTTATACAAAAACTGTATCATTCCAAAAGTAATGAGCAGAAATAGATTTCAACTATTGCTGAGATTTGTTCATTTTTCTGATAATTGGACGGCTGACAAAAGTGATACTTGCACAAGTTGTGCAATCCAATTGGTTATACATTGAGCATGTCACTGTATTTTGGACAAACAGTTACTGGACTGCAGTCTGCTGGACTTGCTGAAAGAGTAGTTATGGAACTTGAGCCATATTTATCTGAAGGAAGGCTTATAGTAGTGGATAACTTTTATACATCAGCGCCATTGGCAATTTCACTTCTACAGAGAGATACCCATTTATTAGGTACCCTAACGAAGAACAGAAAGTACTTACCAAAGGATATCATGACAAAAAAAAACCTTAAAAAAGGAGAAGTGGTTGGTAAACAAAATTCGAAAGGAATTGTTGTAGGAAAGTGGAAGGACAAACGCGATGTTTACTTCCTAAGCACAAAACATACTTTGGAAAAGATGACAACTGGACGAAAAAACAGGTTGGGAGAGAAACTTTGTAAGCCAGTTGCTGTTTTAGAATACAACAAGGGCAAGCAAGGGATACCTTTTAGACCAAATGACAAGCTATTTTACGCCCTTGAGAAAAACCATCAGATGGTATCACAAAGTAGCTTTTGAGGTTCTATTGAATACTGCTGTAGTCAATGCGCTTTTCATTTACAATCATTTTCACAAAAGGAAAATTCATATTGCCTCATTCAGGGAGATGCTTGTGCTGAGAAAAGAATGACGTTACACTAAAACGTTCAGATTCTCTGAAGCACAGCTTAGTGCAAAGTGAAGAAAAGGATAACAACAATCGGCAAAAAAGAAGAAGATGTACAAATTGTTACGCAGAAGCTGCAAAAGAAGGACGTTCAGTGGCACAAAAACAGGGAAAATTAGTTTCCACAAGATGTCATGTTTGTGGCAAGTTGTGCCTTTCATGTTTTACAAAACTTCATTGAAAATGTAAAGATAATAAAGATAATTTTTGTAATTCAAGATCTCATTGCACTTGAGTAATCCTGGTGATCAACAACTTCACAAATATAATATGCTAGCACTAAGTTGTCATATTTTTGCTGGCACCTCAAGTATCATATCTTTCTTTGTCAGTGCCTCTTTACACATTATTACATAATATATTATATCACCCCGGTTTCTGGAAAGGATATTTTGAAGCAATTCGTTACTTGATATATGTAGATCTGACATCGCTGCAATGGTAAGATGCCTTTTTGAATGAAAATATTAATTTAGTGAATATAACTTAATAGAAAACATTTAATCTATTTGTTAATTAAAGAAAAATCGTATAAAATCAATAATTAATTCTGCAATTAATCGTATAATTTAATTAACGCGAACCGATGCTATAAATCAGTATACAATAACCTATTAAAAAAAATTATAACCAAAAAAAATCTGCAAGTTCCAAATGGATACGAATCTTTAAAAAATCGTTAAGTTAAACGTACACTTGAAACAATTTTTTTATGTTAAGCGGTAAAAAAAAAATAAAAAAATCCTACCTTCTTTCCAGTTCCTTCGCTTTCAATTTATTAATGGAACTTGCAGATTCATCCAACGAAGTGGGCCGATCTCTTCTGAAAACAACGAAAAATGTTTTAATACATACAATTTTACGACATTTCCATTAAAAATGAGTTTCAACTAACTCTTCACTTTTTATTAGAGACTCATAAGAATTAGAACTAGGAAAGAAATTTTCCGTTAACGGCGAACTCGGACTATTTGGAACCGAAGAAAATTTCGAACCACTCATCATCCTTTGAAGTTTAGCTTTAAACCCCTTCGGCGAATTAGCGACACTTTTCGGGGAATTTAAACTACCGCTCGGTGAGATCTCCCCCGAAGAGCAACTCCCCGACGATAACTTCTCGTAAACGTTCACTTTAAGCGGTTTTTCCTCGGCCATCGCGAAACGTTTTTCCTCGACACCGCGAAAATTCAAACTGAACTAAAACGAGGCAACGAGATATTAATTTTGGTTTAACTATAACGCACAAATTTAAACCAAAAACACGGTCAACTAGAAAAAGTGGTTGGAAAAGGAATTTTTTTGCGGTTTCGTTGATACTTTTCCTTCTTTGTTGTTGTTTAAGGTTTTGGATTCAACGTTAAGGTTTTAATGAGATAGAAAAAGAACGCAGGAAGCGGTCTAAAACAGCGATTAAAACAGACTTCCTGCTTCGAGGTTCAGTTCGCGGAGAATATCCGTTTCAGTTTGTTATTAAAAAATTACGCGAATTAACACTGTATTCGTGAATAAAATGAACTCGTTAATTATGATCACTATAAACGCACGATGAATTAGGAGAATGAATATAAGTTTTTGTATAGACGGACATATGGTGGTTATAAATACCGAAAAAGATAACGAAATGTTATTAATTACTGCGTTTTCTCAATGTTATTTTATTATAATTAAACTAATTCAAATAAATTTAGACTATAAAAGGAGGAAAAAAAGATTAATATATTTAGTTTTGAATTTTTTGAATAAACTTCTTTTTAAAGTGACTAAAAGTTCTAACTAAAATAGAGCCATCTATGAGAGGTTTGATTACTTTTGTTTGATGCAAGTTTGATAAACCGATTTCAGCTAAATCAGCAATCCTCAGGACATTCGAAGAGTATACTTCCTCTTGCAGGAATTAAGGATAATAGAAAGAGTTAAATAAAAACGATTGGAAAACTGTGGGTGTTTGTTGGGGAAGGTTGAGGAGAGGAGTTGATCAAAAGATATGAGACAAGATTGGAATAATGGGGACGAGATGCTGGATAGGGTTCGAAGAAGCACCGATAATTTAAGTATTCTCAATGGTTTGAGTTGCTTCTCCACCAAGATAAGCTTTCCAATCTAATCCAATCACGGAAGTTAGTATCGATATCATGAAGATCAGCAGTGGAGAGAGGAGATCGATATGGAGATGAGAAAGAGAGGTAGAGGAAGACTTGTGGAAGAACAGGTGTGGAGACTAGGTATTGGAAGATTAGTTGTTTCACAACTAATGCAGCGTTTATTACTGAGTGACCTTTCCAGTTAATTTTCTGTATAGTATTTTAGGCTACTTTTTTCGCCTATTTGAATTGTTGTACTATTATGCCATTCCATTGGTATTTCTGACTGGCACAGTACTCTTATAAATAGTGAGGACAGCTTTTCTCTTATCGTTGTTTCTCTATATTCGAGCAACTCATTAGCTATGCTAATGATCCCGGTTCTGGGAGATTTCGAGTTTTTTAGTTTTTCAAGATTTTTTTTGACTTCTTCTATCCGAATAATAGTTCTTGTGCTTAAGTTCACTAAGATCTGTGGCCTCTTTGGGGTAGTTATTTAAAATATTTTTCCCAATCTTCCTTTGGCGCCTTTTGACACCACATGTAAGGCTTAGAACAACCAGTATTAATGCTGAAATACATTGTAAAAGAATTTTCCTTCTAAAATTTATAAAAAATTACGTTGTCTCAGATTGCAATAAATTAAAAATGATTCGCCATCTATGAATCATCGCTAAAACATGGAAACATTGTTAATTCAAACTCCATCTATGAATCATTGTTGAAACTGAGTTCAAAGCGAACCCAAGATAAATCGATAGAACGTTTTCGGGCGATTCAGTTATCCACGATAACGTGAGTTTGCCGGAACTGCCCTTCAAATAAAACGCTGTGATTCCTCTCCAAAACTTCGTAAGTAATTCAAACACTTTTTTTATTAACAAATAATACCTAGAAATTATTTAAAAATTTTTTTCATATAAAAGAATTAATTCTAAATATAACTTTTTGGGAGTTGTTCCAAAATATAACTTCAACTACGCTTTACGAATTATGTAATGAATTTAAAGTGCCTTTAAAAGAAAAATCTTAGTTGGGTTTTGTCATCTTTTTTTTATTTTTTGTTTCGTTTCGATTGTTATCCTAAAGGTGACTTTATCCTAGCATCAAGTTTTATGTAATAACCTTTATCCTACTGCCCTTGTCCTATTTAGTAATTAGAACCCAAGTTTGAATCTATTTTTATATAACTATAAGTTAAATTCTAAATAAGTTTAAATTTTTTTGTTATTAATTAAAATTGCGATTTATTACGCAAGTAAATTAAGTACGTAGGCCATGGTCACATGGTTACTTGATCACACGTGTCAATTTTTTAAATAAACCCTAAATAAAATAAAATAACCACATAAAATAAAATTTCGATTATATAATGTTTGATTTAATCTTTATCAATATTTAGAAAAGGATTAAAGTTCAATTACTCATTATGAAGCGAAGCTTATCAATAAATCGATTTTACATAATTTTTTTAGTTAAAACAATAAAAATAAAATGGGTGTCCCAGCTGGAGATGTTGAAAAAGGCAAAAAAATCTTTGTACAAAGATGTGCTCAATGCCACACGGTTGAAGCTGGAGGAAAACATAAAACCGGGCCGAATTTACACGGATTATTCGGCAGAAAAACAGGACAAGCAGCAGGATTTGCTTACACCGACGCTAACAAAGCGAAAGGTAAATTTATTAACCACGTGGTTTTAGTTTTAGGTTATGTTAACCACAAAATTTTCTTAAATAATTAAAATAATTTTATTAGGAATTACGTGGGGACCCGATACCTTATTCGAATACTTGGAGAACCCCAAGAAATACATACCAGGCACAAAGATGGTCTTCGCCGGCTTGAAAAAACCAAACGAAAGGGCGGACCTCATCGCGTATTTGGCAGACTCGACGAAGTGAGCTAGAAATAAATAAAAGCAATGTAACAGGCTTAAGCGGGATTATTCGCCCTTATTTAAGATAATTAAGTTTTAAATAATCCGATCAATCCAGTTCTAAGTTTGTGCAAGTAGTATTTGACCGATCGCAAGACAGTTTTCATCACTTGTCCATAGTCGAGTGAAATACGTGTAAAAAACTAGGCAATTCGTTTCATTTAAACCAATTATTTTTCTTTTCCCTTTTTTTTCGTCACTATTTATTATTAATTATTGTTTAAAAAATTTCGACTCATCGAAATAAAAAAAAAATTATAAAGTTGTACAGTCACGTTAAACATTAAATAACATCTTCTTGTGTTTTAATAAACATGATTTTATGAGTTTAATGAGTTTTAATTTACCTTTTTTGTAATAAATATTTTTTGAAATACTTGACACTTAATAACTGTTATTTTTCTTTTAATGGAATCTACTTTATCGGCTTTTATATTTATTTAGATTAAAATTATTAATTAATTAAGGTTTAAATTGGGTTCAATTTGATATTAAAAATAAATTGAGCAATATATTTTTTATTTTAATGTTTTGCTTTTATTTAAAAACAATAACTCCATTATTAAATGAAAATGTATTGATGGGTCAAATTGGTTGCCTATACCATAACTATAAAATTGAATTATTTTTTTAAAATCATTTTTATAACCCACCCCAGCGTTTATAAGACATCATTTTAAAGTAAGAAGCTTTAATTTGATTTAAAAATCTTTTCCTATCTGTTAAATAACCTTAAAGATTCACTCTGATTTTTAAACAAAAACTTTTACTTACGTTTATGAAACTGCGAGGTAACATCAAAAACTGATTATTTTCTTTCTGTGGTGTAATAATAAGTAACAAAACTTATTAATTTAAAATAAACAATTCAAACGTAATTTATAACAACTAACAACAATGACATAACCTCAAAATGTCAAGAAATTAATATTAGAGAAAGAAACACCTGCTTTATCGGCATTTATGTTTATTTACATTAAATTTATTAATTAATTAATGTTTAAATAGAGTTCAATTTGGTATAATATATAAATTAAAAAATATATATTTCATTTTTATGTTTCGTCATTGTTTAAAAACAATAACAATTATTAAATGAAAATATATTTAGGTGTCAAATTGGTTGTATATATTATTATTATTAAATTGAGTTATTTTTCTAATTTTTTTTGATCTTTTTTAATCCAACCTTTATTACACATCATTTTGAAGTAGGAAGTTTCAATTTAGGTTCAATTTGGCATAAAAACTTTTTAAAATAAAATTTTAACTTTTACTTCTTCATAAATTATTCAATTTGATACTAAAAATATTTACTTACGTTTAAGAAGTAAAGTAACATCTAAAATTAATTATTTTTTTCCTATAACGTAGTAATAAGTAATAAATCTTATTAATTTAAAATAAATAACTCAAGCGTAATCCTTAAAACAATAACATAACCTTAAAATGTCAATAAATTAATCTTGAATTATAACGTATAAATAAGATGAATTTTGCATCCAAACGAGTAATTAACTTTAATAAAATGAATTAAAAGTAGTAACTAATTAAAATTGTGTTAAAATATCTCCAAAATTAATATTATTAAAATGATACTTTTAGTGTTTATTTATTTGATGTTGGTAGGATTGAAATCGGCCATTTTGGTGAATTTTGGTGAGCGGGAAAATTTGAAATTCAAAATTTATTATTATTCAATAAATACATTTAAAACTTATAATATAATATAAAATGTTGAAAAATAAAACAATTATTGTTCTAAAATCGCCATAATTTCCTTTAAAGATTTCCCTTTAGTTTCAGGGACGAAAACAACAATAAAAATCATTGCAATAATCATGATGATGGCCAACAGCCAAAACGAGTAATGTTGTCCGATTAAATTAACCATACTAGGAAAGAATTTGGTTGTAAAAAAGGTTAATGATAAACAAGTAACGGCGGTTAATGTAGAGGCGATTGGAGTTGGGGGAAAAATTTCACCGAGAATGGCGAAAGGAACTGGGCCAAATCCCACGTTATAAGCAGCCATGTGAAGTAAAATGCTTCCAATTGGAAGTAAAGAGAAGAAATCCATGTTGTATTCGTTCGCTTGGAAATAAAAATAGGCCCCTAATAAAATTAGGGCTAAAACTGTCCCAAAAGCTGAATACAATAAAAGAACTTTCCTTCCCAATTTATCAACTATCATTACAGATATGACACAAAAAATTAATTGGACGATCGCAACAGCAACTGTTGAAATATAAGAAGAAATCGAAGAATCCGTACTATCAAAAATCGATTGCATATAAAAAATAATAATACTTATCCCAGAAAATTGTTGAAACGCAATCAAAGAGAGGCAAATAACGAGACCTTTACGAAAACTTTTTTGCTTAAAGATAACCCAAGAATTCTCATTGTTCTCAATTTTATTCACAAAAGACGATTGAATCTGATTAAATTCTTCGTCGGAATTCGTCGTGCGAAATTTTTGCAAAACTTTCGAAGCTTTCCCCTCATTTTTTTGGTCCAAATAGAATAAAACGGTGTCCGGGAAAAAAGGAAATATAACAAAGAAACCCACCGAGGCCCACAAACAAGACAAACTAAACGTTGTTAAATCCAAACAAGGCCCAATTACATAACTATACAAATTCCCAATCGATAAAAACGTCGAGTACATACACCCCAAACTTCCGCGATTATTTAATTCGGCAATTTCGCATAAATAAAGTGGGATAACCGTGGTTGATGCCCCAACTGTTATCCCAGCAAGAAATCTTCCCACGTAAAAGATATAAGCGTTTGTTGAAAACGCGACTATTATGTTTGATAAAATAATTGGGGTTATGGTTATTAAAAGGGTTTTTTTCTTCCCGATTGATGGGAATAAAGCCCCGGATGTGAAAGCGCCGAATAATGCCCCAACTGGGAGGAACGAGGCTATCCAAGATTCTTCGTTTAACGTTAAATCCTTTGTTAAGGGGTTATCTTCGTGAGGAACTGGAATTTTTAGCTTTGGAATTGCCGGTGATGACCATGCGTATGATATCCCCGCAGCTATTGATGATAAATTAACTGAATAAATAAAAAAATCAATTTTGCAACAATAGCTCATTTTTTATTAACTTACCAACGAAAGCTGTTAAATATAAGAACCAATTAAATCGTTCTCGATTAATAATTTTATTTTCTTTCGATTGTTGATTTTCGGATATTGTAAAAACGTTGATGGAGTTTTTAATCACCATCTTGCCAAATTTATTTAAAATTTTAAAATTGGATATTAAATGTTTTCACCTCAACGGCGGATTAATAACAACTGGCAAACAAAAATTTCTCGATAAAACCGTGACGAATGTTAATGACGATTTTCCGAACAATACCGAATTTGTGATAAAGTGCTTAGGTGATTGTTAATAACGGTAACGGTGCAGAGTTCGTTAAATTTTTCAGATAATCTAAGAAATGGAAAGATTTATTAAGCACTTAGTCACGAAAACGAAAAAAAAATTATTAATTAATTAAAAAAAAAAATAAAAATCAAGAGCATTTTTATTTCAACTCAAAAAATGACGTTTCTAATCAAAAATTTGGTAACGATTAATTTGCTGATAATCAATTTTTGTGCGAAATTTTCTAAAGGTGACTTTGAACTGATTATTTTCCATACGGGGTGTATACACGCAAGATATGAAGAGACGTTTGAGCCGAGAACTGGAAAAAATTATGGGGGAGTAGACAGAATGGCCCATTTGCTGAAAGATGCAAGAGAACAATACAAATCTGGTGAAGGCCCGCCTGTTCTATACTTAGATTCTGGTGATATTTTTAGTGGTAGTATTTGGTTTTCCGTTCATTCGTATCACGGGGTAGCGAAGATATTGAACGCATTACAACCCGATGCTTTCGTAAGTAAACATTTATGTCACAAAAAATAATAGAGATATCATTTTAAAGCAAATTTAGTTCGTTTTTAATGAAATAAAAATCGTTTCTTTATTCCACCCAATGATTTTTTTTAATAATAATAATTATGAAAGGTTTATAAAGACAGATTTAAAAAAATCATGTTTCAGGAAGTAATTGAGATATCAAGATGAAATATATACCATTTTATAGGAAATTTAATCTCGTTTCAATACATCAAAAATCATTATTTCATTTTTATATAACCTCATGATACGATTTTTTCCATTTAACTCTGTTTCGTTTTATTTTTATAGAATATCGGAGCCCATGAATTCGACGTTAACATCGAGGGTTTAGTAAATTTTACAAATCTCGCCAAATTTCCAATCGTCAGCACCAACCTGATATTCCATGCTGAACAAGAATTAGAAAGAAATATAAAACCGTCAGTGGTTAAAGTAGTGGACGGTTATAAAGTGGGAATTCTTGGTTATATTCTACCAGAAATGATTCTTTGGTCGGAAAAAGGAAATGTGGAGGTTCTCGACGTCATATCAGCACTAAAAACAGAATGTCTTCGATTAAGAGCACAAGATGTGAACGTAATCATCGCTTTAAGTTATGGTAATTTTGAAATCGACAAAACAATAGCTTCTGCAGTTTATTTTATCGATGTGATTATCGGTACTGGTTCAAGAACGTTTTTGTGGAATGGTGTACCGCCGGATTTAGAAGTTCCTGTTGATTCTTATCCCTCAAGAATCACAAGAAGGGATGGCTCATTGGCGTTAGTTGCCCATTCCGATATGTATTTAAAATATGCGGGAAAAATTAATTTGCGATTTACAAATGATGGTACGATTAAAAGTTTTTTTGGATCCCCAATATTAATGGATTCAAAAATTTTGCAAGACGCAGATATGGGCGCATTAATTGAAGAACTAAGGAAAGATGTTTTATGGTACGATCAAAAAGTTTTGTCGACTTGTAGCGTTTTCTTGGAAGGCGCAACTTGTCACTATGAAGAATGTAATTTCGGAAACTTGATTATGGACGCTATTATTGAAAGCAGAGCGAGTAAATATCAAGGTCCTGGATGGACGGATGCCGCAATTGCATTAATGAATAGTGCATCATTAACCACAAACGTTAACAGCCCACAAAACGATAACAAAATCTTTTACGGTGATATAATGAGAGCTTTGCCATATTCCGAGATGCTTTACATCGTTGAAATTAAGGGATCCGATCTTTTATTTGTCTTGGAAGTTAGTACAGCCGGTTTAGATGCATCAAAATCAAATCAATTTCTTTTAATGGCTGGTTTAAAAGTTATGTTTGATTTTAAGAGTAGTTTTGGAGAAAGGGTCAAATTGGTTAAAGTTAGATGTGCTGAATGCGACATCCCGGAATATTTTCGTTTAGATCTAGATAAACGTTACAAGGTGATCATTACCAGCTATTTATTGAAAGGTGGAAGTGGATTCACGATTATCCGCGATGTTGTTTGGAATCCGGTTTCTATTGGTGAAAGAGATACCGATGTCATGATTCAATATCTTCAAAAAGTTAAATATGTTATTCCGGAAGTAGGAGGCAGACTGATTCCTTACGATAAGCGATTAGAAGAGAGTAGTTTTAGTTTTCGTTCTAATCTTTATTGTTATTGTTTTCTTTTAGTGTTCATGAACTTTGTAATATGGTTATTGAAATAAAGAGACAACCTCAAAAATATTCATTTTTATACATATGTTATATATATATATATATATATATATAGACATTGTATTAAATTGATATGCCATACTGTTCAGTGGAATTAATAATTTTTAAAAATTGCATTAAGTAAACTTTTTTATAAAAATACTAACTATTAAGATAACCTCGGTAGATTTGGTAGCGCTGCTAGCCACTGCTTGTAGAATAGTTTTCACGCTTGCTACCATAGGGTAGGTACTATGGATTCTTATCAGGGTGGAGGAAATGCTCCATCGAGTCTCTGTCTCCTAGTGACACCATTGGACGTTTTATACCGTGTGCTGGATCTTCCAACCTCATCAAAAATTCCAAACTCAAGGTGGAACAGCTTATTTCAAAGACTTTTATCATTTTACAGCGTTGGCTAATTTGGTTCTCATCATCGTTCTGGAGATATCGTTCTGGATATTAATGCCTAAATTGTTGTCCAAGTTATGCAAAACACTTTAACTCATCTGGTGATCCATTTTTATTCACGCCATGTACATAGCTTAAGAATTAGATTTTGTACTCCCTTTACACGGCCGTTTTCGAAGACATCGGCCGCCCCACGGTTATCATGAATAGCAGTTGTTTAAGAAAGCTTATGATATTCACCTGCGGATCTGATGTTGGTATTCATCAAATTCTTCTGTTGTTTGATTTTGAAAGTCGATTTGGCAAAAGAGTCAAGTTTATATAAAATGCGCAGCAAAAAAATAGTATCGTCCTTAGAATCATACACAGACTACAAAGTATCATCGGAAAGTACTCTTCGCACAAAATATGTTAAAGAACTTTACAAAAATACCATAGACAGGTTGATGTAATGACATAAGGTCAGGACAAAAAGAAAACAATGGCAAAAAAATCATAGCTTTTCTATTTTGAAAGAAATTTCTACATGTTTGAGTAAAGGATCCACAGAAATAAACAATAAATACACAGCTAGCACCATCTCACCATTTAAGTATGTCCGAACTGATTTTTTTTTGGAAATGTCCATTCCAAAGTTATTTTGTTATTAACGTTACAAAGCTCGATAACATTAAAAGAAAACAATAACAATCAAAATTAAAACGAGAACCAAACGAATGTTGTCTATTTCCGTTAAAGCGTTTATCGTAGGGTATCAATCTCCCTCCAACTTCCGGAATAACATATTTAACTTTTTCAAGGTATTTAATAATAACGTTGGTATCTCTTTCACCAATCGAAATCGGGTTCCAAACGACATCGCGGATAATCGTGTATCCACTTCTTCCCCTCAGCAAATAATTAGTAATGATCACTTTGTATCGTTTCTTCAGATCTAATGGAAAATATTCCGGGACGTCGCATTCAGCACATCTCACTTTAATCAATTTAACCCTTTTTCCAAAACGACTGTTAAAATCAAACATAACTTTTAAACCAGCTGTTAAAAGAAATTGCGCCGTATTTGTTGGTTCTAAACCAACTGTGCTTATTTCTAAGATAAATAAAAGATCGGATCCCTTAATTTCAACCATGTAAAGCATTTCGGAATATGGTAGGGCTCTTATTATGTCGCCGTAAAAGATTTGGTCTTCATGTTGTGGGCTGTTAATGTCTGTGGTTATGGAACCGCTGTTCATTAATGCAACGGCGGCATCCGTCCATCCAGGACCTTGATATTGACTGGCTCTGTATTCAACGATGGCATCCATAACTAAGTTTCCGAAATTGCATTCTTGATGATTGCAACTTGACCCTTCCAAAAGAACGCTACAAGTCGTTAAAACCTTTTGATCATAAGATATAACATCATGTCTAAGTTCCTCAATCAATTTGGTCATTTTTGGATCTTGCGAAATACTTGAATCCATTAATATTGGAGTTCCAAAAAAAGCTCTAATCTTACCATCTTTTGTAAACCGTACCTGCAGTTTCCCCATGTATTTTAAGTATTGATACGCATGGACAATTAATACTAAAGAACCATCTCTTCTTGTCACTTTTACTGGGTATGAATCAACAGGAGTTTCTAAATCCGGTGGTACACCGTTCCATAGAAATGCAGCTGAACCAGTACCGATAATCACATTGATATAATCGACTCCATGAGCTATCAATCTGTCGGTATCGATTGTACCTTGACTTAAAGCGATGATCACTTTTACGTCTTCTTCGAATCTTAATCGACGACATTCTTTATTCAGTAGCGGTATGACATCGAGAAATTCTATGCCACCTTTTTCTGCATAAAGAATCCATTCAGGGATAATATAACCAAGAATTGCCACTTTAACACCATCTATGACTTTAATAATAGCTGGTTTAATTTTTTTTTCTAGTTCAGTTTCATTATGGAAATTAATGTTAGTGCTGATTATTGGAAAATTAATGAGTTCTGAAAATTTAGTTAAGCCTTCCATTTTCGCATCAAATTCATGAACACCAACATTCTACAAAATAAGTCACAAATTATTTTTTTTGACAACTACATATATATTTTTACTTACAACAGCATCAGGTTGTATTTCATTGAAAATTTTTGCTGCACCTCGATAAGAATGAACAAAAAACCAAATGCTACCGCTAAAGATATCGCCGCTATCGACATATAACACAGCCGGCCCTTCACCAGCTTCACGCTGTTCCCTTGCCTTTTTAACCATATAAGACAGTCTGTCTACTCCACCGTAATATTTTCCAGTTCTCGGCTCAAACGTCTCTTCGTATCTTGCGTGTATACATCCTGTATGCAAAATCAGCAACTCAAGATCATCGTTTGCTATTATCCCACAAAAGTTGGTTATAACTAAATTAATCGTTAACAAATGTTTGATTAGAAACGTCATTTTTTTAAATCGGTGTGATGAAGTATGTCATCGTATGATAAGTAATGTTTATGCCATGGAAACTAAACTTTAATATGGGTATAAACTAACCTCAAACGATTCTTTATAACCTCACTTTTAATAAATGCAAAATTGAACAGGTAAACTTTAAAAATGTATATGAAATGAATCGTTCATCATAGCAACTTCAAATTTGGTTTTTTAATCCAACCTTAAACGTTTTTTTATTCTTCGTCTTCCTTTGGCTCTACAACTCTTGGTGGGGTTTGGCCTCCTTAATAATTCACGTATGCGACAATTTTTGGTATAATTTCTGAGACAGTCATGTACAGTATCAAGTTAATAAGCAGGAAAATCTCCCTGTGTGACTGTCTTTGATTTCAAACATATCTGTCAAATTTCTTGCTGCCACCACCGCAGCCTTGGTTTCCATCAATGCTTATTGTACAAGATTAACCAACTTCTGTGAGATACCCAGCAACAACAGGTTCTGAAAGAGTCGACCACGTCGAAAGCCTCTTTGAAATTGCTGAACAGGCAGTTCACACCAAAGTCATATTCGTAAGCCTTCTCCAAAATCTGCTTCAAAGTGTATATATGGTCTGTTGTAGATCGGTTGGGTCGAAGAAATCCATATGGGTAATGCCCCAAGATGTCCTCCGCATACTCGCTCATTTTATTATAAATAAAGCATGAAAATATCTTATATGTCACGTAAATAATTTTTTTCATTAACCTGACTTATCAACAAATTTAATCTATGACATTTCGATTTAAAGAATGACATTTCTAATAATCATCATTATTTTTTGTATAAAAACTTTAAAGGGTGATGTTGACTTATTAATTTTTCATACTGGTTGTGTGCATGCAAGATACGACGAGGTATTTGACCCAAAAGCTGAAAAATATTACGGTGGAATAGACAGATTGGCTTATTTGGTTAAAACAGCAAGAGAACAACATAAAGCTGGTAAAGGGCCGGCTGTTTTATATTTCGAACCTGGTGATTTCTTTATTGGCAGCATTTGGTATTCGGTTCATTCTTATCACGGAGTGGCAAAAGTTTTAAATCAACTAGAACCGGACGCATTTGTAAGTAAAAAATGAGTTAATGTAACTTTGTGCAGTTTTTTTTATTTTTGTAGAATGTTGGTGCTAGTGAATTTGATGCTGAGGTTTTAAAAAATTTTTCAAAACTCGTCAAATTTCCAATAGTCAGCACTAACATGATTTTCCATGATAAAGAAGAATTAAAGAAAAGAATAAAACCTTCTATTATTAAAATCATAGATGGGGTTAAAGTGGGAATTGTTGGTTATCTTCTTCCTGAAGTGACTCTTTGGGGAGAAAACGCCGATATAGAAGTTATCGATATCGTACCGGTACTTAGCCAAGAATGTCGTCGATTACGATTCGAAGAAGACGTAAAAGTTATCATCGCTTTAGGCCATGGAAGTTTTGATTCCGATAGATTAATAGCTTATGCGGTTGATTATATCAATGTGATTGTTGGTAGTGGTTCTGGTACATTTTTATGGAACGATGCACCACCGGATAGAGAAATTCCTGAGGACTCATATCCAGCAAAAGTGACACGAAGAGATGGATCATTGGTATTAATTCTCCATGCCTTTCAATTTTTAAAATACATCGGTAAAATTAACTTGCGTTTTACAGACGAGGGTAGGATTAAAGGTTTTTTTGGATCCCCAATATTACTGGATTCAAAGATTTCGCAAGATCCAAAAATGACCGAATTAGTTGAAGAACTTCGAAAAGATGTTACAACTTCCGATCAAAAGATTTTATCGACATCCAGCGTTTTTTTCGATGGCACAAGTTGTTATTATGATGAATGTAATTTCGGAAATATGATTGCGGATGCTATCGTTGAATACAGAGCAACTCAGTATCAAGGGCGTGGATGGACAGATGCGGCCGTTGTATTAGTGAATAGTGGTTCCATAACCACAAACATTAATACCCCTATAAATAACAAAAAAATTTATTACGGTGATGTACTGAGAGCTTTACCATTTGCCGATCAACTTTTCATCGTTGAAATTAAAGGATCCGATCTTGTATTTATCTTAGAAATTAGCACAACCGGTTTAAATCGAGGAAGTCCAATCGAATTTCTCTTTACGGCCGGTTTAAAAGTTATGTTTGATTTTGAGAGTCGATTTGGACGAAGAGTTAAATTAATTAAAGTTAGATGCGCTGAATGTGACGTCCCAGAATATTTTTCCTTAGAACCAGATAAACATTACAAAGTGATCCTTACCAGTTATTTATTAAGAGGTGGTGGTGGATACACGATTATTCGCGATGTCATTTGGAACCCGGTTCCGGTTGGGGAAACTGATACCGATGCCACGATTCAATATCTTGAAAAAGTTAAATATGTTATTCCGGAAGTGGGAGGTCGATTTATACCCTACGATAAACGCTTAGACAAAAGGAAACCAATTTCTTTTGGTTCACGTTTTAATTTTGATTGTTATTGTTTTCTTTTAATGTTGATGAGTTTTGTAACATCATGATTAAAATAAAAAAATATTTTTGGTATTGAAGTTATTCTTAAAATTCATTCCTATAATAGAATGATGTTGCGAACTTTTAAGAAATCTGATGAATGCCATCATCAAAAGGTGAATATCATCAGATTTCTCAAAATCCCGATGTCCTTGATGACCGGAGTATAAGATCTGGTTCATAAGCCATATGGCATTAATTAAAACGCAACACTAGATGAACTAGTAACAAGAAGTTAAAGTGTCTTGTATACCTGGGATAGCAATTTAGACATCAATGCTTCACGAGAACGACTTTTGAGAAATTTGATGAGTTCCAGCATCAAATGTGCATATAATTAGACCAGTGATAGTTGAGAGATGCATTATTTTTATGCCAATATATAAAAGAATTGGATCAATACTTATAGACGCCGAGTGACACTGTGGGTCACAAACATTTAATTTTTTTTAAAGCATTTGGGCCGTCTACAGTGTTACATTTAAGTGAATTTTTGCTATCAAATAAGACAGAATTGTAGGAATGAGTTTTAAGAATAACTTTATTACCAAAAATTTTTTTTTTATTTCAATCATGATGTCACAAAGCTCATTAACATTAGAAGAAAACAATAACAATCAAAATTAAAACGGGAACCAAAAGAAATAGTTTTTTTTTTGACGAAGCGTTTATCGTATGGTATCAATCTACCTCCAACTTCCGGAACAACAAATGTAATTTTTTCAAGATATTGAATCGTGGCGTCGGTGTCAGATTTCCCAATCGGAATCGGGTTCCAAACGACATCGCGAATAATCGTGTATCCTCCACCACCTCTCAATAAATAATTGTTAAGAATTACTTTGTAACGTTTATCTGGTTCTAAAGGAAAATATTCTGGAACGTCACATTCAGCACATCTTACTTTAATTAACTTGACCCTTTTTCCAAATCGAACATCAAAATCAAACATAACTTTTAAACCAGCCGTATAAAGAAATTCGGTTGCACTTTCTCGATTTAAACCGGTTGTGCTAATTTCTAAGATAAATACAAGATCGGATCCTTTAATTTCAACGAGGTAAAGCAGATTGGCAAATGGTAAAGCCCTCAGTACATCACCGTAATAAATTTTTTTATCATTTGCTCGGCTATTAATGTTTGCAGTTATGCTACGACAATTCACTAATACAACGGCTGCATCCGTCCATCCACGCCCTTGATACTGAGTTGCTCTGTATTCAACGATAGCATCCGCAATCATGTTTCCAAAATTACATTCTTCATAATAACAACTTGTGCCGTCCAAAAGAACGCCAGAAGTCGATAAAATCTTTTCATCGGAAATTGTAACATCGGCTCTAAGTTCTTCAATCAATTCAGTCATTTTTGAGTCTTGTGAAATCTTTGAATCCAGTAATATTGGGGATCCAAAAAAACCTTTAATCTTACCATTCTTTGTATACTGTAAGTTAATTTTACCAATGTATTTTATATATTCATAGGCATGGAGAATTAATACCATTGAACCATCTCTTCGTGTCACTTTTGCTGGATATGAATCATCAGGAATTTCTTTATCCGGTGGTACACCATTCCATAAAAATGTACCAGAACCACTACCAACAATCACATCGATATAATCAACTGCATAAGCTATTATTCTATCTGTTTCAAAACCAGCATGACTTAAAGCGATGATCACTTTTACGTCTTCTTCGAATCGTAATCGATAACATTCTTTGCTGAGTGCCGGTATGATTTCGATAACCTCTATATCGCCGATTTCTCCCCAAAGGGTCAGTTCAGGAAGAATATAACCAACAATTCCCACTTTAACCCCATCTATTATTTTAATAATAGAAGGTTTAATTTTTTTCTTTAGTTCGTCTTTATCCTGGAAAATCATGTTAGTGCTGACTATTGGAAAATTGACGAGTTTTGAAAAATTTTTTAAAACCTCAATTTTAGCATTAAGTTCACTAGCACCAATATTCTACAAAAATAAAAAAACTGCACAGAGTTGCATTAACTTACACATTTTTTACTTACCATAGCGTCGGGTTGTAGTTCATTTAAAACTTTTGCCACCCCGTGATAAGAATGAACCGAATACCAAATGCTGCCAATAAAGAAATCACCAGGTTCAAAATATAAAACAGCTGGCCCTTTCCCAGATTTATGTTTTTCTCTTGCTGTTTTAACCAAATAAGCCACTCTGTCTATTCCACCGTAATATTTTTTAGCTTTTGGATCTAACACCTCATCGTATCTTGCATGCACACAACCAGTGTGAAAAATTAATAAGTCAAGGTCACCCTTTACATTTTTTACACAAAAAGTAATGATTATATTAGCCGTTAACAAATTCTTGATTAGTAACGTCATTTTTTAATTTAAAATGTCATAAATTAAACACGTTGATAAAACAGGTTAAAAAAAAATTATTTTCTCCTATATTCATAGGATTTAAGAAACGAAACCTTTTGAGGTTATAAAGGAACGTTTGAGGTTAGATTCTACCAAGTTTTAAGTTTTCATGGCAAACAATTAATTCGTTACATAATTTTCATTAAAACCATTTCATTAAAAAAATTTTCTTGAAAACGGTTAAAATTTAAGTAATGAATCTTTTGGAGGTTATGAAGTAACGATTAAGGTTGGATTAAACCTAATTTGATGTAGAACGATTCAACGCGAACGATTGGCATAAAGAAGAAGGAAAGAGCAGAGTGGTTCAACGAAGGTGCAAAAGTGCTATGAAAGGAACGAACGACAAGGAAAATATGTAATCTAATTGAGGACATAAACAGATAGAGGACAGATTCTGCTTGGCACACAAGAGGAGGAAGAACAGTGACAAGTTCTAAGACTGACCCCCGGAGAGGAATGAGAGGAAGAGTATATTCAACATTGTCTGAGATGAAACAAGCTATCAAGGCACAAAGACACAACATGTTGCATAATACTACAATGCATAGCCTACAAAATCTTCACGCATGTACTTACCGTGACTCTCACCATGGTCAATTGTGTCCAGCACAAAGAAGAAATGGAATAGCTTCATAACATCAAGATGCAAAAAGGCTCACACTTTGACGGAACAAAGATGTCACAAACTTCTGAAATGCTTCTCACTAGCGGAGCTTAAAGACATCCTCTTCACTGACGAGTTATTCACGAGTCATTAACGTTTCCCGAAAGGGTGATGTAGTCTAGGTTATGTTAGTCTAGTTTAGTATATAGGGTCGGAGTGATTTCAACAGGGAAGACACTGCTGATTTTTATGGATTTGGGTGTCAAGATCAACTTCCAGAACAACATATGATGAGATTCTGATGATGAAAGTTCTTAAAAAATCACACCATCTTTAATTGTACAGGTTGGAAGACGAGTTATATCTTAAATTGAAGCTCTAACATTCTAGTTTATGTTAATGTATAGAAATAGTAAGGTTGGATTGTAGTAATTGCAAAAATTTTGATATAAACATAAAATTGCGATATACGACAACTTGTCAGGGGAATTAAAAATTTTAAAAACTCATACCATCTTTATTTCTAAGGGTAGGACCACGTATTATATCGTAAATTGAGGCTCAAACATTCTAGTTTATGCTAATATATATAAAAAAAGGTTGGATTACAATAATTACGAGAAATACAGACATAAACACAAAATTGCAAAATTGCGATATACAACTTGTCATGAGAACTAAAAATTACAAATACTCATACCATCTTTATTTCTAAGGATAGGGCCATGTATTATATCTTAAATTGAAGCTCAAACATTCTAGTTTATGATAATGTATAGAAATAGTAAGGTTGGATTACAATAATTGCGAGAAATATAAAAATAATTAAAAAAATTGCAAAATTGCGATATACAACTTGTCAAGAGAACTAAAAATTTCAAAAACTCATACCATCTTCATTTCTAAGGGTAGAACCACGTATTATATCTTAAATTGAAGCTCAAATATTCTAGTTTATGCTAATGTATAGAAAAAGTAAGGTTGGATTACAATAATTGGGAGAAATATAGACATAAACAAAAAATTGCAAAGTTGCGATATACGACAACTTGTCAAGAAAACTAAAAATTTCAAAAACTCATACCATGTTTATTTCTAAGGGTAGGACCACGTATTATATCACAAATTGAACATCAAACATTCTAGTTGGAAAAATATAATTCGATTTGTGAACGCGATGATAGTGGTTGTATGACAGGATTTGAAGAAGATGGGGGTAAGAGAGGTCAAAGACCAAAATCCACCCCGAGGCTGTAGTGTTAAAGGACAAGAACAAGAAGAAATTGACACAGCAATTTAAAGCATAAATCTTCTTTTATATATAGCACAGCTATAGTTTAAACATTAAAGCATTTTTCAAAAAAAAACTAATGTTATGTATTTTTTAGATTTTAGGTAGATAATGAACATAAATAATAAAATATAAAAGATCGTGAACGCCATATTTTTGACAATTATAACATGACGTTTACATCAAATGAAAGCATAAGCTTTCCTCTGTAACATATCATACCTATTATAAGTCGCTGCTTTAATTTGAAACAGATTTCATCCAAAAAATTTTAAAAATAACCGTGCACTTTGCATTTAATCAACAATTTAAAATAATATAAATTATATTTCATAAATCGAAAAATGTGACAAATACAATGTCAATAACACATTGTGTACTCATTTAAATGACTTTATCATTTTATTCCCCGACTGAAAATGAGATGTTGCCATAATTTGTTTAAAAATGTCGTTAATACAAAATTGGTTAACGATTAATTTGCTGACAATTATATTTTGCGTGAAAATTTCAAACTGCGATCTTGATTTGTTAATTATCCATACAGGTTGTATACATGCGAGATACGACGAGTCGTTAGAGCCGAAAACTGGAAAATATTATGGTGGAGTAGATAGATTGGCTAATTTGGTTAAAAAGGCGAGAGAAGAATATAAATCCGGCGAAGGTCCGGCCGTTTTATATCTCGATACTGGTGATATTTTTAGTGGTAGCATTTGGTTTTCTGTTCATTCTTATCAAGGTGCGGCAAAAATTTTAAATCAACTACAACCTGATGCTGTTGTAAGTACATATTAATATGTGTCACAAAAACTAATTATTATTTTAACAGAATATCGGCGCCCGCGAATTCGACCTTAATATTGGTGGGCTAATAAATTTCACAAAACTCGTCACTTTCCCACTAATCAGTACTAATATGATGTACCATGATGAAGTTGAACTAACAAAAAATATAAAAGTTTCTCTTATTAAAGAAATAGATGGATTTAAAGTGGGAATTGTTGGTTATCTCCTTCCTGAAAACGTTATTTGGAAGGAAAAAGGTACTGTGGAGATTCTCGACATCGTTGAGTCACTGAACAAAGAGTGCCATCGGCTAAAATTCAAAGAAAAAGTGAATGTGATTATCGCTTTGTCTCATGGAAGTTTTGACGCTGACAGATTAATCGCTCATTCGCTTAAATATGTCAATGTGATTGTTGGTAGTGGTTCAACTACGTTTTTGTACAACGGCGACCCTCCGGATATAGAAACTCCAGTTGATACATACCCGTCAAAAGTCATAAAAAGAAATGGTGATTTAGTATTAATTGCCCATGCTTATGAATATCTAAAATACATGGGAAAACTAAATGTACAATTTACAAACGACGGTAGAATTAAAGGCTTTTTTGGAGCTCCAATATTGCTGGATTCGAGTGTTCCGCAAGATCCAGAAATGTCCGAATTGATTGAGGGACTTAAAAAAGAAGTTTTACATTACGATCAGAAAGTTTTATCCACTTGCAGCGTTTTTTTGGAAGGGGTAAATTGTCGTTACCAAGAATGTAATTTCGGAAACATGGTTATGGACGCTATGGTTGAATACAGAGCGAATCAATATGAAGGACCTGGATGGACAGATGCCGCTGTTGCATTAATGAACAGTGGTTCCATAACTACAGACATAAACAGCCCGTTAAACGATAACAAAATCTTTTACGACGACATAATGAGGGCTTTACCATTTTCCGAAATGCTTCATATCGTCGAAATTGTAGGATACGATCTCTTATTTATCTTAGAAATTAGTACCGCTGGTTTAGATCCATCGAGTAGCGTCGAAGGTCTTTTAACATCTGGTTTAAAGATTATGTTTGATTTTGAGAATCGGTTCGGACAAAGAGTTAAATTGGTTAAAGTTAGATGCGCTGAATGTGACATCCCGGAATATTTCCCGTTAGATCTAGAGAAACGTTACAAAGTGATCATCACCAGTTACTTATTGAAAGGAGGCAGTGGATTCGCGATTATACGCGATGTTGTGTGGAACCCGATTTCGGTTGAAGCAAGAGATAACGAGGTTACGATTAAATATCTTGAGAAATCCAGCTATGTTAATCCAGAAATTGGTGGGAGATTGATACCCTACGATAAACGCTTCGCCGAAACTAAATCTAATTGTTTTAGTTTTCGCTTTGGTTATGCTTGTTATCACTTTCTTTTAATATTAATGATTTTTATAACGTCGTTGTTGAAATAGACTTGAAATTTTAATTAAAAGGCATGAAATCTTAATTTTTAACATTAACGCCAAAAATAAGGGTGAAACTAGAAATACTACATAAAATAATACATAATTATTGAAAAATTGCAAAAATCATGTTTATTAATAAAGATTGGAATATGTATTATATCTCAAATTGACGCTGAACCTTAATAGTTTATGTTAGTATATAAAAATAATAAAGTGTGATTGCAATAATTGCGAGAAATACTGACATAAACAAAAAATTGCAAAATTGCGATATACGAGAACGTGTCATGATAACTAAAAATTTCAAAAATGCATATTATCTTTATTTGTAAGGGCTGGACCACGTAGTATATCTCAAATTGATGCTCAAGCATTCTAGTTAATGTAAATGTATAGAAATAATAAGGTTAGATTGCAATAATTGCGAGAAATGTTGACATAAACAAAAAATTGCAAAATTGCTATATACGACAACTTGTCAAAAAAATTAGAAATTTCAAAAAATCATACCATATTTATTGCTAAAGATAGGAAGACGTATTATATCTCAAATTGATGCTCAAACATTCTAGTTTATGTTAATATATAGAAATAATAAGATGTGATTGTAATAATTGCGAGAAATATTGATAGAAACAAAAAATTGCAAAATTGCGATATACGAAAACGTGTCATGATAACAAAATATTTCAAAAATGCATATTATCTTTATTTGTAAAGACTGGACCACGTAGTATATCTCAAATTGATGCTTAAACATTCTAGTTTATGTTAATATATAGAAATAATAAGGTTAGATTGCAATAATTCCGAGAAATATTGACATAAACAAAAAATTGCAAAATTGCGATATACGAGAACGTGTCATGATAACTAAAAATTTCAAAAATGCATATTATCTTTATTTGTAAGGACTGGACCACGTAGTATATCTCAAATTGATGCTTAGACATTCTAGTTTATGTTAATACATAGAAATAATAAGGTTAGATTGCAATAATTGCGAGAAATGTTGACATAAACAAAAAATTGCAAAATTGCGATATACGAGATCATGTCATGATAACTAAAAACTTCAAAAATGCATATTATCTTTATTTGTAAGGGCTGGACCACGTAGTATATCTCAAATTGATGCTCAAATATTCTAGTTTATGTTAACATATAGAAATAAGAAGGTTAGATTGCAATAATTGCGAGAAATATTGACATAAACAAAAAATTGCAAAATTACGATATACGAGAACGTGTCATGATAACTAAAAACTTCAAAAATGCATATTATCTTTATTTGTAAGGGCTGGACCACGTAATATATCTCAAATTGATGCTCAAATATTCTAGTTTATGTTAATATATAGATATAATACGGTTTGATTGCAATAATTCCGAGAAATATAGACATAAACAAAAAATTGCAAAATATCGTCTATTATAAATGAATTTTTCTAAAAATCCCGTTATTGGTAGAATGGATATAAGGTGATAGTTGTTTACAAGGTATCGATCGCCAGACTTAAAATTAAAGAGAATTTTTGTACGAATGAATCATTTTAACGAAACCATAAAAATTCTTTTCAACAGTACGTTTCCAAAATACATCGTCGGAAATGTTCGTATTATAAAAGAATTTAGCGATAGCTTTTATCACACTCTAATATTAGTCAAAAAATGCCAATCCAATTACAAATTTTTGTACACGTTAATAAAGCGAAATTTTTCCACCAAAAATCGTATAAATATTGCAGAATTCGACGATTTCCAATCAGAATTTGTTCTAACTTCAAATCCTCACGATGGATTTGAAAAACAGTGTAATCATTATTTATATTTTATTTATGAGGTGAGTTTAGCTTTCCAATAATAACATAAAATCGATTTATTCTATTTGTTATAGTGTTCATGTATCACGTAGTGAGCAAACATTTCCTGAGGGGTTTAAATTTGGCGTTGCATCTTCAGCTTATCAGGTTGAAGGAGGTTGGAATGAAGGTGGGAAAGGCGAGAGTATTTGGGATAGATTAACCCACGGAAAGCCCAAAAAGATTAAAGACCGATCCAACGGCGATATATCTTGTGATAGTTACCACAAGGTGTTTGAAGATGTGCAACTCTTAAAAGATATGGATGTTGATTTTTATAAATTTTCGATTTCCTGGCCTCGAATCTTACCAAATGGGTACACTGACGTAATCAGTACCGATGGAATTAGATATTACAATGATTTGATAGACGAATTAATCGCGAATGGTATCAAACCTGTTGCAACAATGTTCCACTGGGACTTGCCACAACTGTTACAAGAAAAAGGGGGATGGATGAATGAAAAAGTAATCGTTGCTTATGAAGATTACGCTAATCTTTTATTTTCAATTTATGGAAATAGAGTGAGAGATTGGATTACGTTTGAAGACCCTGCAATGTTTTGTTTTGACCCGTATTTCCAACAGCCTTCGTTTGCTGATGGGCTGAAGGAGGAAGGAAATGTTGGCTATCTTTGTGCTCACGCCATTTTGAAAGCCCACGCAAGAGTTTATCGATTATATCATTTTAATTATAGAGAAAGACAACATGGACGAATTGGTATTTCTTTAGGATCTTCGTGGTATGAACCTGGTCTCCGAGGTGATTCTGACGACGATTTAAGTGAATTAGCTATGGAAATTGAGGTAATTTTTAAAACATTAAACATTTTTTGACATATTAATCATTAATTATTTAGTTGGGTTGGTTTGCTCATCCAATTTTCTCGCGAGTTGGAGATTACCCAAAATCGGCATCTGAACAATTGCAGCTTTTCAGTCGACAAATACAAATGACTACATTTAAAGTACCAGAATTCGAATCAGCTGATATTGAGCTTTTGCGAGGAAGCGCAGATTTCTTCGGATTGAGTCACTTCACGACGAAACTTTGCGACGTTAGCCTCCCAAAAACGAGTTCCGAAGGAACCCCTTTGTTTGCAATTGATTTTTGCTCCCAAAAGCAATCATGGGAAAATGGTACGTCTTCATGGCTTAAAGTTGTGCCGTGGGGAATAAGAAAAGTGTTGAATTGGATTAAAAAAGAATACGACAACCCGGAAGTTTTTATAACGGCGAATGGATTCTCAGATGATGGGGAAGAGAACGATTGTCGCAGAGTCCATTATATGAACGTAAATTAATATAAACATTTTCTTCATAAATTTGTCATTATTTAATTTTAGTCTTATTTGGAAAATGTTCTCGTGGCTATGCAAGCGGATGGGTCTCATATTTCTGCTTACACAGTTTGGAGTTTTTTGGACAATTTCCAATGGTATCAAGGATACACGTAAGAAATTTAATTATTTATAAATAGGCTAGTTAAATTTAATTTTTTTTTATATTTCAGTGAAAAGTTTGGTCTTTATAGTGTTGACTTTGATTCTATAGATAGATCTAGAGTGGCTAAATTATCTTCATTGGCGTATACCAACATTATTAAACTAAGAAAAATTGATTGGGATTTCAACCCGGAAGGTTTCAAGTCGTGCAAATGGGGATTATCTAACGGGACTGTTCTTCTGGATTAATTCTTCAATTGAATCATTTATATTATGTTATTTAAAATTGTTTAAAACATTAAATCATTGAATAAGCAGCATTAAATTTTGCATTTTTATTACAACAGATAGCAGAATTAAGCAGAATTTTTGATCAATTTGATTTGATCTGCTTCATATTTTCCAACATCTCTACAACACCAAATAGGGACAAAAATAATTGTGCCAATTTCTTTAGAAACTCAATTATCCTTGAATTTTCGAAATGAGCAGAATATCTCATTACTTTACTACAACCCAACCTAACCACCCAACCTAACCTCAATCAATATCTTAAGCACTTCTGCTTTTACATCATCCGGTCCCGTCTCTTATATATCGAGCTGCTTTTGACATGGCCAAACCTTTCGACTCCATTTCCTGAACATCTATTATAACACTTATGAGGCGCAATAACATCAGATGACAAAATCCATCTCCTACCCTATGTAACCTTCGCAGTAGATCAACTTTTTGCTCAACATCAGCTAAAATGTCAAGGAAAACTACTAACTCAAAGCGTTCCTATTTAGTATAACTGTTGAGGTTGGATGATGGTTTAAATCGTTTCCGAAATTGGTTTTATCAATGAGATGATCAACGACTTGATGCAAGTGGAGGAGAAAGATATTGACACCTCTAACACTATGAACATGGTTATGTGATTTAAATTATAATTTATTTGATTTGAGAAATATTTTGAAAATGACATTTTAGTGTAGGTATGCAACTCATATCACATCTCGAATCATACGTTATTTATTTCATTTACAACTTAAGCGGTTAAATAACTATATATAAATATATATATATATACATATAAATATGTACAGTTATATATAATACATATATAATACAAAGTTTTTTATACATAAAAAAAAATTAATTACAGAAACCTGTAAATACGGTGCAAATTTAACTGCCTACTTTCAGGCTGCAAGTTACAATAAATCTAATGTAATCCTAAAAATAATCGTAGTTTTTATTTAAACCACAATTTTTTATTTAGAAAGCATTTTAAATTATCTATTATTAATAATTGATTTCATTTATTTATTTTAAATATTTAATTTGATTATTATAATTATTTCCCGATTCTTTCTAATAATCCAATTTAAAAAATAAATTATAGTATGAACAGGAAAATCCTCCCTCCTCTTTCCACCTTATGACTCATCCACACACAATCATCCAACGCTACCAAACAGACACCACCCTCTATAACACCCCTTTAAAATTTCTAAGGCCTACTGTGTCGTGAAAATCGATCTGGTCGCCGAGAGACTCTGCAATATCTCCATTTCCGTTCAACCCCCATTTCTCATATAACATCATCTTTCTCGGTTACAGGGTGAGAAAGAAAATTTGAAATTTAGGGGATGAACGAAAGGAAAATCCTCGTACCAACAACAGCCCAGACGACGCTCAACGTCAGCGAAAGTCTCAATCTAAATATTTTGGATGTTGAATGGTGTGAGTTTGGCGTGGATTTTTTGTGATTATCGGAAATTGGAGTTGGAGAAAATGCTGTTTAGGTATGTTGCAAAAAGTAGGGATAATTAGATTAAGATCAAAGTCAATCCTTTTTAGATGACGAATGCAGGAAACTGTTTTCCTAAAATTTATTTTTATTTTGGATTAATAACATGCTATCATATCATTCTTGGCAAGTTTCTACCGGATCATTAAAAAGAGAATCGCGCGATTCAGAAGTTATTACAACAATAACAGGATCATTTATTAGTACGGAAGATTTAGAAGATTTAGATGAAAGTGAAATAAGAAGACAATTATTAAGAGATGTGCGTCAAATTAAAAATTAATTAGGTAATTAATTTTAATTAATATTTGTTTGTAGCAATGGAGATTATTTTTTGATCAATTTGATCCGGAAGGATTCGGGGAAATACCCTGGAAGGAATTTCTCAAAGTCATTGAAAGACCTGAATTTCGCCAAAGAGTTGGATCGGGGAAAAGGGAGATTTTCCAAGAAAAAGGAAAAAATGCCACAACTGATTCCATAACGTTTCAAGATTTCGTTAATGTGGTGAGTTTGAATAAAAATTTCAAAAAGGACATAATAATTATATAAGCCCAGATGATAAATGGAACTTGGTCGCAACAAAAATTTGAAAAAAAAATTAAGTAGCATTCCCATTACATTGTGCATGAGTCATTTGCCACCTAACGTAGCGTTATTAATGCGTGCTTCGAGAAATCCCAGAAGGCTTTGGGCGTCGCGGACCTCGTTTGTTTTCCTTCGATCTCCTTTTTTTTCTCTCCTCGCGAATTCTTCACATCGCGACTATGGTCATCTTCAAGGTCGTCCGACCGGCCTCGCCACCGCTACCTGAGCGCCACCTGTCGTCCGAACGAAGCAATCTATTTTGACGTTTTGTTTATTTCTTGTTATCAATACAACGTAACATTATTTAAAAAATAAATGAGTTATTATTATAAACATTTACTTATTTGGAGAAACAACAAAAAGAAGAACAAAGAGGGAGAGTGAAATAATCGTTTAGCGAGAGTGTGGGCGACCTCCTGTGTGGCCCCGCCCCCTCTCCTCCGCGGTACCCACCGCGCCTGTCCGTGCATGCGTACGAGGGACCAAAAAGAGAACTGACGAAAAAGGAAGAGCACCGGCGGCGGCGGCATCACCTTGATTTATAAGATCGCCGCGCCGTTTCGGCCTGTTTTTGACACCTCCGCCTTCCAGGGGCGGCAGGGACGGGTCTCGTCTCGTGGTGGCGCCTCTTCCCCATGCAACCCAAAAACCGATAAAAAAAAAGTTAGACCCGAACCGAATCGGAATGCTATCTACCATCAGATAAAAAAATACTCGAGTTATATCTCATTCTCTTAACTTAACTTTTGCCCAATACTATATAAACCTACATACGAATCCATCTATGTATAAGGATAATCAAAATAAAGAAAATTAAAACTAATTTGATTTGATCTGTTATTATTCGGCTCCTATTTCTATCTTGTTGTATTTCTTTTGGAGTTGATGGGTATCTTGTCGGTCGGGGCGTCGTGTGTATACCTGAAGACGTTCTTCTCGCCGGTGTGGACGATAAAACGTCAAACTCGGTCGCCGGACGACTTAATTCCAATCGAGGTGCTCGTTGCTGGACCGGGTCCTCCGTGTGTGGCGTTGGGTGCCCTGGTGGTGAGATAAGCCGTCTCGGTCGATTATTTATTAAACTGTGACATCTCTAATCTAATTAGGGTGCCGCACCCTTTTTGTCCTCCCGCATACAATTTTCTCATCGTTTCAGTAGACTTAGTTTTTGTGTTTAAAACAATTAAGTTCTTTAATTAAATTGTATCTAATTAAAACTTTACTATTGAAGTAAGAATATTAATTAGAGTTTATTTAGAACTAATTACTTAGACATCTTTTATACAAAGTTGAATGTTCTTGATGTGGATTTGGACATTCATTCTGTCTTCAAGTTTTGGAAACAAATAATTCCCAAAATCTCGAAAAGCTTGTTGTGGACACCATTTTGACAAGTGTTTGGCTATACTTTGGTTGTATTTCACGTTTGTATATTTGTTATGAAGATAGCTTTTAATGACTCAGGGTCTGTTTTTTTCAGGAAAATGGCATTGCCACATATTTAGAGTGCGGAAAGTTAGCCCCCATTTTTTGATTTTTAAATTTTTCATTGTTGTATCTAGAACAATAACTAGAACAACTAGAACAACCCAGAACAACAAAGAAAATTTGATTTTTCCCGAAATGGGGGCTAGTCAAAAAACCCGTTTTTTCGGTTTTTCTCGCCGAATTTTTATTTTTTCTATTTGACGCATTGGAACAATGTAGAACAACTCTAGAACAATCTAGAACAACAATGAAAAATTTAAAAATCAAAAAATGGGGGGCTAACTTCCCGTACTCACATATTTACGGTCTGAATCTTTTGCTTTTTGTATGGCTATTTCATCACCTTGAATCTTTGCCCTATTTTGGCCTTGATTAATCAGTATGGTGATAATATTAACCCAACTTGAAGTAGGATTCAAACAGAGATGCAGCATGTTGATTAAGTGCCCCAATAAAGTTATGAAGAGTTGTTCCTTGAGAAGTTAATTATTAATTTTATGAAAAATATTTGTTTATAATGGGAGGTAAAAATTTTTTTTGTTCCCTTTTGTAGCAACGCCGTCAAAAAAAAAAAGGTGACCGGTATTTAGTCAAAGGTAAATAATTGTTTTCGGTGGTTGTGTTGATTACAGGGAAGGACTTAAGTAGGTTCTGACAGTCAAGGCGTAATCGAAGACGCACCGACCGCAAACCTCAGTTATTAGTGACCCGTTCTGGGTTGTTAATCGTCAAACCACAATCTCGGTCGCGACGCGACGTCATCAACTTACCAACGATTTTCATTGATTATTATAAACTAAATCTCTTTAAGTCTCTAAACTTATTTTATGTCATTACTAATCACAATACTTCTAAAAATGTGGTAGTTTTCGAGATACCAGTTTGATTAAAATCAAGTTAAGTCTGGGTGAGTTCGAAAACCAACACACGATAAAGAAGCCACCCAAAGTGCAAACGAAGAAGAAGGGGGACGGCAAAAAAGACGAAAGGAGAGAAAGAAAGAAAGATTCGGGGCCACCAAAGTTTTGAAATGAAAGGGCGGCGATCGCAAGCCAAAAAACTCTCCTTTCTTCCTCTCTTTTCTTTATCTCTTTTCTTCATCTCTTTTCTTCGTCCCTTTTCTTCGTCTCTTTCCATCCCGCAAAGGCACCCCAAATCTCTTTATAATTATCGACCCCCGTTTTTCTCACGGATCCGCTATAAGTACTAACTATTAAGAAATATAGGTTAAGGATCTAAGGGGTACTTAGAAATCGAACTTGGAGAAACGAATTCTTGAACTGGGATTTTTGGGGGCCGGTGACAGTTCTTTTCTTTGGACAAAAGGGCCGCCGGGTCGAATTTGTTTTGCCAAATATCCACGGTAACTAGCCCCTAATCTTTCAACGGTCTGTCAAGGACCCCGAAGGTCCTTTTGTGTTCAACGGTATTTGTGGAAGAGCGGTCCATGAAATTATAATGGAATTACTCGACGATCGCCGATGGATGAACACATTGTGTACGTCGGAATCGCGTTGAGGGTTTATTTTTCGACAGGCAAAGATGCTAAAATCTGTGAACTTATTTTTATAAAGGTATTATAATTTAACGAAGTTTTCAATGAACTGATTATCGATTTAAAATAACTTTTTGAATCATTCTGATAACATTTTTCGTAGACATAATAACTGCAGAATAATTGTAGCGCTAAACTGAGCAAACTCACTCAATAACACCAGGATTCCATCTGCACTTACAAAGACAACGCAATCGACCGTAAACTTTCCAGCATGTTCAATAAGCTTTACTGGGATTTATGTCAATATATGGAATGTAGCGTCTCGGCCACAAGTAACCTTGGCTGCTATCAGTCTACTTTTCTCCTCGCCAATTGCAGATAAGACGTCATAACCTTGGGATGCATATCTTAAAATTTGTAACTATCATCCGACATTTTGGTTAAATAAGCTTGAATAAATACACAATTACACACACGAAAAGAACCTAAACATAACCTGATCTCAAATTCGATAATGATTGGTTGAACCATCTTTATCACAGTTTTTCGTTTGTATTAAAGTTATCAAGTACGGATTGTTAGCTTGGGAGAAACAGAAGAAAATATTGGCCGTAGAAGCAAAAAGTCATGATCAGAAACAAATCATCAGATGTAGAAGAAAAATAATGAAGGCAAAAACATTATCTTGATCATTGGAAGAAGAAAACACCATGCACCAAAGTTTTTTTAGAAATAATATGTGCAGAAAGAAAATATTATGAGCAAACCACGCAAACTCAGAATGATCCAGAATTACTTTCTGGATCAAATTGTAACATAAGACGGAATTGAAGAGTAATCTCAGTATGAACGTAATTCTTTTTTAATTTGTTTTAAGTCAATCTGATTATGTGCGTTATTACAAATATTTATTTAACTATTAAGTTTTAAATCTTCCTCGCACCAGGTGTTCTTATGATGTTGATTCCAATCGAAATTCTCCCCCATTGTCCCTAAAAACCAGCTGCTAGTAGGAAAAACTCGTGCTATCTGCCACACCACCCAGAAAATATCTAGGTGGGGTGCACACTTCCAAAACCAGCCAAACACTTCCACCCCCCATTAAAAGGATCACCACCTTTTCGTAGATATAGTAACTAAATGGGGCACGCTTCGAGGTGTTTTCGCCCTTAGCATAACGGATTAGGTTACCAGAAAAAATCTTTTTTTTATTATTTTCTTTGTTGCGTACTCGTCTTTATTTTTTTGTTCTTCTTTTTGACGGTGCACCGACGTCGCGTCGTCGTCGAGAGCGTCCGGTGCCGTGCCCAGACGTCTGGGCATTTGGTCGGATCATGAATAAGTCACGAGCTTCCAGGCCGCTTATTTCTGGCATCGAAGCCCCGACGACACGTAACTGTAAATCTCCGTTAGGACAAAGCGAAAATAAAAACGGTTATTATTAAAGCTCTATATGTATAGGGATTTCAAACATCATCTATGTTGTTATTTATTTATTTAAACAAAAAAAATGTAATAATTTAATTTAACCTTGGTTTGGATCAGTATAGATGTTGTAAATAATGTTGTTTTAGGACGATGTGATGGTCCGAAAAGTTTTTGGCCCCCCGAAAAAGAAACGTTCGGTGGGCGTGTCGGAATTTCGCCCGTTAAATTACGAGTGCCGGTAATTGTGTCGGTCGGTATAGGATTAAAAACGAAAACAGAAACGAAGAGAAAACAAATTAAAGAAAAAAAAATAAATTTAAAAAAAATTGGCCACCGTCGCGTTTCGTATCTCTTCAACATCTTCGCTTGTCGGTAAAAATGTTAAGAGTCAAGTCGTCTTTCAAAAGTGTTGAAGAGTCGCGGTGAATTTGTCGCGACGACGACGACATCGAATTACGGTCCGATTGATGGGCCTTAAACCCGTTAAATGAAGGAGTCAGAAATC